AATGAGCTCAGATCATGGGGATTACCACACACTATCTTAACTGAAATTCTGTGAGGTGGGGTTGAACTGATAAAGGTTGTGTGGTCCAAGGTCCATGGATCACAGCGTGAGATTGGTGAAGAATCTGGAACCGAACACCATAGGACAAACAACAAGCCCAAGACCAGGTCAGGCGCCAGGTACAAAGGAGGGGCGAAAGCTGCCCAGTCCGTAGGAACAGGCAAGACGTGTTGCTTCAGCAGGGCTGTTGGGACAGGAAGTGCCTTATACTCTGCAAGAGGCTCCGGTGGGCAGCCCGGGTGGGAGAAGGCTGTTCAGGCCTCAAGAAGCTTCACGGAGAAGCTGCCACCTCCACTGGTGCACCATCGTCCAGGACATCTGCACACAGCACACACCAGCTCCTGGGGCCCGGTGAGCTGCACCAAAGGAGGGCAGACCTGGTTGCCGTTGCTGCGTGCCACCAAGTCACCTCTGACTCATGGCAACCCATTGAATGAGTGCGCTCTAAAACATCGGGCCCTTGACAGCCCTGCTGAGCTCTTGTCAATTCAAGGCTGTGGCTTCCTTTACGGAATTGATCCATCCTAGGTTTGGGCTGCCTCTTCTTCTGCATTTGACTTTCACTGGTGCAGGTAATAATACCAGGGAAAGTCAAATGCGAAAGAAGAGGCAGCCCAGACCTAAGAACTTGCCTTCTCATGGCGTGCCTGAAATAGCATAGCCTCAGTTTTTCCACTTTTCCTTCTAGGGAAGGCTCTGCCTTCTGTCAGTCCAGGGTATTTGCAAAGCTCTTCTTCAGCACCATGTTTCAAATGCATCCATTTTCTTCCCGTCAACATTCTTTGCTGTTCGGCTTTCACACCCATGCGTGGTGATCGGGAATATGAGAATGTGACTGATCTGGGCCCGGGTCTCCAATGACATTTTCTTATCCTTGATGGCCCTTTCTGGTTCCTCCATTGCTGCCTCTCCAAGTCTCAGCCTGCTTCTGTGTTTTGGCTACAGGATCTGTTTGAAGCATGATTCGGTCAAGGTGTGCAAAATCCTTCACAGCTGGTTAAAGAGCTGCTTTGTTTGTAGAACCCTGAGATCCGAGTCAGGCCCAAAATAGTGGAATGTGAACGGCGGAAGAAGGTGCCTCTGAATGTGTCCAACGCAGGAACTCGTTTCTGGAACCAGGACTGCAGTTTCTACACAGAAACACACGCACGAACCTAATTCATGAGAAAAATTGAGGGTTTTGTTGTTGCCATGGTTAAAAGAGTTGAGAATCAGGAATCCTTGCTAATTAACTGCAGATCACCTGGAGCTCTGCCCAAAATTCCTACTCTGCCTTCTGTAAACTCCTGAGCTGCACAACTGAGTGTGGAATCCAGCCCATGTTCCTGGGTACGTAGCTCCGGAGTGCGGCACTAGCTATGGGACATTGTCTCTCTGTTTCATTTAGGGCACTATTCTGCGCATGGTTAGACGGGAAAAGGCCCATGGTTAGTTACTGGGAATTGTAGGACTATTTTCCTGGTCTTAACATGCAGAGCTGTGCCCCTTTGTCATGCTGCCTCAAATGCAGGTTGGGGGAGCTGCTTCGAACCCCAATTGTACCATCGAATCCTGAATGTGCACATGAGCGTGACTGGTACCTTCTTTCAGGTAGGTGTGGGAGACTGGCCAAACGAATCAGGAAGCAGTGAATGCATCCTTACCTGGCCAATCTTAGAAGATCCCTCCATCAAGCTATGTAAGCTCTTGCCTCGTCATAAATACCCCCCTTACAGGTAATAAGCTCCAGGAAGTGGTGCTGTTGTGGTTGCCCCGGTTACTGCAGGGACCTCTTTCGAAGGGGGAAATGACACAGCTTGCTTGATTTCTTCTTCCATGGAAACATTCTTCCGTGCATCAAGACAGAATGCAACAAGATCTCTGATAGAATAACTGAAGGGGGAGGGGGGAGAGGGCGCAAGCAAATTTGTGAGGGGATGCGCTTCCATGTGGCCCCTCATTCCCAAGGTTAGTTACTAGAGAGAGGGGCTTCTAGGTGGTGGCCCCCGGGTATATGTAACATTCCCCCCAAGAGAATTGCCTTGGCACCAACATTACTTTCTCCCCTGCAACAGGTTAAGCCTTTTGTTCTCTTTCTCCCAGAACATTTAAATCTTTGCTGCTTTAATCCCAATTGTATGTGGTGGGTTGTTTCATTTTTTAATTCCTTTTTTCTATTTTGGCTGGTTTTAGTGCCTCATTTTGTACCATATTTTATCAGGGTGGCATCGTGCATTTTTATCATCTTTATTTTGTTAGCTTCCATATTTGCACTTCTATTTTCATGTTTTTTGTATTGCTGTATTTCTTGCTGTATTTAATTCTATTATATTTTAGTTTAAAATAATTGCACAGCAAATAGAGAACCTGTTTCATAGGCATTTTATAAATAGGAGTAATAGACAAAGGGACAGCAGGTGAACTTGGTTTCTTCCTGTTCTGGTTCGCGGTGGCTGGAACTAGAGATGATGGCGCATCCTGCTACCTTCTAGGAGGCTGGAAGTCTCGTTTCCCTCCCATGTGCCCAATGCGCCCAGGCACAGCATGAGCCTCTCCCTCCACCCCGCTCAGCTTCCTTCCCCAGCAATACCTGGCCTGCTCCTTTTCTGCATGCCTACCTGCTCATTTCCTTGGTGTCACGCGTGCTTCCACTCCTGCATCATCTCCAGATGATCCTGACAGCTTGTATTCTTCCTCCCTTAACCATTCGGTCGTGTTTCCTTGTCCCTCCTTCACATTCAGTGGAGTGTTTCACCCCCGGCTGTGTATTTGGAAGTTTGCCTGAAGGTTTTGAGAATGCATTAAATTGTGCCCCCGGAAAACAACATAAAAGTGAGATCCATGGAAAAACCCACTAATATTTCCCTTGTACATTACCGATTCAGCCACCATCCTACAGAAGCTCCTACAGTACTCAGTTTAGATAAGTTCTTACAGCATCTTTTGTACCCCTGCAGCACAACTATAAAGAATCCCCCCCAAAAACCCCCCCCAAACATGTGCAACACAACTTTGCACATCTTCTAGGTCCACATTGTCTCAGAAGCTATTGAGAAAAATTTGCCCTGTAAGCAAAGGGAGCCTCATGTTCCAGCTACTCAACAAAGACCTACGTCTGTTCTTTGCCATTTCACATTTCAGTTTTGCAAGGGTCACCCTTGAGGAGTTTAACAAAGGGTGCTTGTGGGTGATCACAAAAGCCGTGTGTGTTTGGAATGATAGCAACTTATTCGTAACCCAGGCAAGTCCTTGATGACATACCCCAGGGTTAACATGCACAAAAGACTCCATGAAAATTAATCTGTCTCTTGGAACGAACGCTCCCTGTTCCGCCACTCCAGGCCGTCTCAAGTGCCCATTTCTTAATTAGAAAATGTACCCATGCTTCAGCCACAAATGATGTCAGGCCAACAGTGCCTGCGAAGGCCATTTTAAGTGCCAGCGCTTCTGCCTTCCTGCCAACTTGCCAAGATTATTGTCCCAAGTGGCAGTTAAGATTCTACCTCCAATGTTTTGCAGGCACGTGGGGATGAATGCTCCTCTGGATCTGTGTGTGCTCATTTCAACACAGGGCTCTGGCCTGTTGCAACTCCCATTATGAGGGTGGAAGGCACAAGGCTGGACACAACAATCCGGCGATGCACAAAGTGTCCACCACATTCCAAGGATATGAAAGGATCATTGCAGGCATCCTTCCGTTTGTTTCATGTTAGGCATGAAGAGCAGAGTTGCTGAGGATCTTGGAGAATATCCTGATGTTACTATTTCCATCCATGGGTCATAAGTATTCCCCATGCCAGATAGCCTATGAAATACAGTGGTACCTCGGCTCACGAACGCCTTAGTTCACAACCAAATCGAGTTGCAGACAGAAATTTCAGGAAAATTTCACCTCTGGTTGCGAACTCTGCATTGGGTGACGATCGCGATCGTGCCTGACTTCCCTGTGTGATTGCGGTCGTGCTCGGGGCGGGGGGGGGGGGAGGAGAAGGGTGCTGTTGTGGTCCTGGGGGGAGGGAGATGGCCGCGATTGTGCTCATGGGGGGGGAGATATCTGTGATCGCAGTCGCGCTTGTGCAGGGATGATGGGCGTGAATGCGGCCGTGCTTGGGCTGGGGGGGAGATGGCTGCAATCTTTGTTACTTTGTTCTTTGTCACTTTGCTTCAAATTTTTGTGAAAAAAAAAAGGATTAACCTTATTTACATTGAACCTTATCGGGAAATTTGATTTGGCTTATGACCAATTCAGGTCACGACTAGAGTCCTGGAATAAATTAAGTTTGTGAGCCAAGGTACCACTGTATAATGTGTGAACCTATTCAGCAAATTGCTTTCCAGGCTGCAGCAAGAGTGTTCTAAACTGGCTTTCAGTGGGCTTCTCCTTCTCAACAAAGAAATGCATTCAAACATTTGAGCTCCCCTTTTCTGCCTAAAGAATTATCCTCCAACTGGAATTTCAGAAGTCTGCTGGTCATAGGTTGGACCCAGGATCTGCCTTCTGTGTGATGAAGGAGCCTTCCAAGAGAGGAAGGACTCCTCTTGCTGCCGGATTATTAAGGGATTCCTCTTCCCCCACACCTTCGCCAGAGGGACGGCTTAGTTGTCTTAGGAAGGGGATGCCTACTTCAACATAAATCTGGATTCAACCCCAGGTGTTTTGTTCAGACTCTGCTGTAGCTAAAGCAGGTACCTGCTTGCATATGCTGTGGCCACAGTACAGTTCTTAGCTCTACGGTGTTGCAAGACTTGTGAAATCCAGTCTTCCAAAAGGGCTAGGAAGGGCATAGTTCCGCCAGCATTTCAGACCCATTTTTATCAGTTCATTCATAACAATCCTAATTCAGATCACATGGGCCTTATATGCCATTTCTGATGAGTTCATTCATAACGTGTCCAATTCAGATCACATGGGCTGAAGAGAAAGAAGTCTTCTGTGTCCCTCCAACAGCTATGAAAACTCCTTTCCGAAGGAAATATCAGCCTTTATTTTGGATAAAACGTTATCAATAAAAGCAATATCATAGAGTGAAGACATACATCATATGTGAAGAAATGTCATCATGGTGCTGTCAGCCGTGGGTTGAACCTGTCTTATTCCACATGAGCCATCAAACGTGGAAACTATCTCCATTACTGGAGTGGTGCTGGGAGCCATTTTGGATATGGCAATTCTCTTCAGTGCTCTTTCACCCTTGGAAAGGTAGCTGATCCAGCTGCTTCCCTGACAGCTGTGGAGGGGAGGGCTGTGCGTCCAGAGGAACTCTCGAGCTGGTTTCTGAATAATGCTATGCCTCACCCAGCAATGTCAGGAAGACATAGGCTCACATTATTTTACCATTTACTCGTTCATTTCAACTTGTGTATCTCTATAGAATAATCAAACGATCCAGGCAGTTTGCTAACACTCTTTTTAATGCTTGTTCCTTTGAGCCTCATATTTGAAAAACAGGTTTGCAAAGCTGCTCAGGGTGCCTCGGTGATTTCACAGGGGACTAGCCAATCAGTGCCGTGCACACCTGACACTTGCTGGAAACGTGCAGAGCTGTTCCTCCCAGCCCCTAACCCCAGCTTTGACCCTGGAGAGGTCCCTGCCAACTGAATCCAGCAAGCCTGCTACCCGAGTGGGCCCACTACCCGAAAGTGTTACTGGCCAGAAGAGCTTACAATGTAAAGTTATTGTAATATAAAGTTAAACATGAACAGAAACGACAATCCACGCAAGTCTGTGGTGGTGGTGATGACAAAGGCTTGGTATGAGCAAAAGGCAGTGGTGTGTCCTTAGGTGAAACGTGGGTTGGAAGCAAAGCCTGGGATTGAGACGAGTGGGGATTCATTGGGAAGCTGGGCTGCCAAAACCTCAGTAGGACCACTGCAAGGTCTGTTGGCTTGAGACTGGCTCCTGGTGTCCGAACGTAACTGTTTAAGAGCTTGGTCCGATGCATAGCTGGCTCAGAGGCCGGTTCCCCCTCTGTCTAAAGTTGCATAGGACTGTGCCTTTAGCGATTCAGAGAGCAGATTGATTTTATGTAGAAGATGTAAACTGTCCCAAGCCTTTATGCTGGGAAAGGTCGGTAAGACTTGAAAATCTATATGCAATTACCTGTGCACAGTTATATGTAAGCAAGCTCGATAGGATGCATTGTGTAGGATGCATAGGTTGCAATGGGCCTTAGTTTCAAGTAAATCTGCCAGCAAGTGCTGGATGAAGAAATAAGCAAACATGCCAACTGCCATGGGGCGAACACCCACACTCACGATCTGATGCAGTTATGGGCATGGAAATCCTATTGGAATTAATGCACCATGCTCGCTTAATTATGTGCTGGGCTGTGGACCAAACTAGATGGAAAATTGAATGCATAATTCTATTTAATGTGCCCAGGAATTCACCCCCACACGCACACACCACACACATGCACTTCTAAACAGCAGTCACAGGTGGTCTGATCAGGATGGAGGGGGAGTCGCCCTTCTCCCTCTGCTCTGTTCTCAGGAAAAGTGCCCCCACCAGCTGACATGAACCATGGGAAGATGCTTCCATTGCAACCTGATCTCCCTCAAATGGCTCCTATTTAGAAGAAGAAAAAACACTAGATGCTAATTATCACTTAAATGCTTTGCTTCTGTCTGCATTTGGCCTTGACATGGGTCCCTATTTGCCTTCTGCCATCTGCAGAGATGGCCGTAACGTGGGGAATCCTGCATCTGCAGAGACGCACACTCATGCACACTAATCCAAAGCACAGTTTCTACTGCATGCAAATGAGGGAATCATTACATTTCCTAACATGCAGAAAGCTTCCCAGAAGAGCAATCATGACACTTCAGCAAAGTGTGGAGATTATTATTATGCAGCAGCGGCAGAAGAATGCCACGCTCGCGGTTGCTCTCTTCGGTTAGTATCTTGTGATGAACCCATTGAAATCAAGTTTGGAGATCTCCCTCTCATTCGAAAAATCTGCCCGGTCAATGCGTGAACTAGGACTTCCAACGCTGGTCAGCCAAGCCTTCCTGCACAGAGAAAGGAGGGCAGATGGGTCAGAAAGCAGCAATATTATACCTGCGTCGTGTTCATCCTGTTATGTGTTGACAGGCATTCCTTCCACTACAAGCCAAACCAGCAGTCCATTCACCTGGTCCACATGACACAACACCCTACTGAAACTAGCCATGATGGGTTGTCGGGTTGTCTGAACCTGGGTGCTCAATCCCACCATGGGCTGCGGGAAGCAGCAGGCAAAGCGCTAGGCAGGAATGGCAGAAATCCGAACAGCTCTTGGTGCACTTGTACATGCCACCACCAGGGGCAGCCCCTCCAATCTGCGCAAGTGACACATTGGAAGGACACCTCTAGAGGACCACCTTTTTTTTAATTGCCCCCCCACAAATATGTATCAATTTATTCTTAGTTTTAATTTGGATTTATGCAACTGCAGAGGTGGTTCAGTGGGTCCAAAAATGGAGGTCCTTATCTGGACAGGCTGGTCAAGACGTTTTCTCTACCCTGATAGCATTTACATAGCCTGTCTCTGCCTCGGTGCTGTAATATCCACTCCCCAGTGTGGGTGCCAGGTTTTCACGGACCTCTGGCGGTGGGGAGAGAGTGCACCAGTGCTTAAGGTCATGCCCACTGACATTATCCAGTCTAGCTGCGGCAATCCAGCCCCCATCTCAACAAGGTGTTACACCTGTGCTCTGACTACTACACCACACTGCTTCCCACACAAATCAAGCCTTCGTATGCATAGTGGCCAAAATAAACATGGTATTCAATGGGCAAATGCATAGCTCTGTAGAGGAACACATGTTCTGCATCCCTACAATCCCAAGTTAAAGGGTGTATTTTTTATTGTTATTATCTAAAATATTTCTAGGTCACCTTTCCACCAGGAGCCCTTCCAGGATGGTATGCACCAAAATGAAAATTGTCACAGAAGATTGGAAGGGGCTACTAAGGTAATCAGGTCTAATATGATGCGCATCTAATAGCTATGCATTTAATAACTATTCAGGTAGTCCCCGAGTTACAGACCAATTCTGCGCCTGAGAATGTCCTTAAGTCGAATTTGTATATAAGTTGGATCACATATATAAAAAGCATATAAAACACTTAATAAACACTTCCATATATACAAAAGAAACTTAAACACAATACAAGATTTTAAGAATGGTAATGCAGGAAAAATGAAGCAACCACAGGTAATGAAGGGGGGTGGGGGGGAGGGAGAATCCGTATGTATGTGTGTAGGTACATAGTTTATTTATTTGTGATATTTACATGCCGTCCTATTGCAAAAGCCTCAGGATGTCTTACATAAATAAAATACAAATATCAGTATAAATAAATTATGACAATTATGACAGTTCTTAAAACAGTTTAGAAAGAAAGACAGAAAAATAGTCAAATGCTTATTAAAAGTTAACACCAGTTGTGCTACTACGAAGCCTATCTAACTGGAGGATGATGGAGATGGGACTGGTGTTGGAGAGGATGGCCCTGGTGCTGGAGAGTCAGGAGTTGATTGGGCTGCTGGTGTGTGTGTGTGCGGGGGGGGGGGGCGAGAGGGGTTACCACTGGAGTTGCTTTCTAGTTCTGACTTTGCTGTTTTTCCCTCCTCTTTCCCTTCCCCTCCTTCCCTCCCTTCTTTCCTCCTTCCTTCCCCCCCTTGTTGCCTGGAGCCTACAGGCACCCACTTGCCACTCAAGGATGAGGTTTTAGGTCTGATCATTCGTAAGTACAGGTTGTTCGTAACCCAGGCATTCATAGCCCAAGGACTACCTGTAAACATAACTAATAAATATTAAATGCATGTAAAACTATATGCATATTAAATGCACAGGAAAAGGCTACAGACGCAGCAATTGCTCCAAACAGCAACACACACTAGGATAAAACAGAGCCTGCAGCACAGTTGCAGCTATAAATCAGTCTGATAAAACTTAACTAGGGGAAAGCCAGAGTAAAGAAGCCAGGATCTTCCTAAAAGCTTGCAATGACGGGACCTGGCAGACCCTGGCGACAACTTATTCCAGGGATGTGGGGCCACTGCAAAAAGGCCCTCTCGCATGTCTCTCCCATCCACCCAATTGCCAGGTGACAGGGCCTCCCTTGAGGATCTCGGCCACAGGGCTAAAGTCTGATGCCCAGAAAGCGAATCACACTCAGTGATATTGGGCCTGATGTGGGCTGGCTTCAGAACGATGCAGCTTTGTGATGGAGTGTGAGCTGCAGCCTGTGGAAATGAACAGCAAAACGCTCCCTCTGGTTTTAATGGGTTCAATTGCAACCAGTGTGGCTTTTATATGATGGGTGGTTATATTTAACAAAGCAAAATAAGAATAGTACGATGGTCTGAAATGTCTGGAAGGGTCAGCACATGAAATCTCAAGCACCAGTCAACTTGATTTTTGAAAGTATGCTATTAAATTCAACAACAGGAAGCAAAAGGTTAGGGAATGCCAGAATCCTGCCCACTCTTTATGAAATGCCTTTGGGTGTACATGATGATTCACTGTTGCATGGAATAATTATGCTTTCCTTCCTTTTCCTTCCTTGCTTCTGTCGCTTGGATCCTGGCCCTTTTCAGTGTGCAATCTGCACCCTACTTACTGCAGAGTAGTCCTGTTGGCACTTTCCATTCCATTGACTGGTGTCTGGTGCTGCTTCTGAACTCTCGTCACCCGAACACACAGCATCTGGAAACAGCCGAATCGCTCCTCATTCACCAACCACATGGTTTGGAAGAGAAGGTGGGGTGATTCCAGAAGAAGCTTCCGTTTGCCCACATGGACAAACAGTCATTTGTTCCTGGCCTATGAAAAGCCCCAGGAGCTCAGGGCCAAACTAGAAGGGATGGGAAAGACCCATGCAGGGTCTCTGGCACATTGTTTTCCTTTGCTAAAAGCAAACATGGTCACGGGACAGATTTGGAGTAGGTGCTTCCCAAATGCCAATCCCTACATTGAGACTGGAAGTTGGGACTTCCTGTGCTGAGCACATCTCATCTATTTTTGGGGTGATTCTGACAACTAGTCAGGTTCACATATGCTTTCTCACACTTGCATAGCATTTTGTGATGTCGGTGTGCCTGTTTTTTGAACTCATAAGCCATGAATACCTGGTAGGGGACAATGAAGACAACTGGATCTTTCACAATATGGCTGCAGTATCTGGATGATCAAAAATGGAGGTGCTGGTGGTTTTTTCACCCTGTGGCCCCCTGCACCCAGTACCAGGGCCTTGCCCAGGTCTTCATGGAGGGGCTCCAACAAGCCCTTGCCTCTTCACATGTTGCATTACAAGAATCACTCTGACAGTGCGGCTCTCTAAATAGGGAGAGCCTTGCCTGTGGAAGCTGAATGCATCCATCTGCCAACGCTCTGCAAGTCGGAGTCTGCCTGCCTCTGCTGCCATGGAAACCAAGTTCATCCATTTTGGCTACAAACCAATAGGCTGGTGTTCAGGTTCTCATGTCTCCTGTTTGTAAAGGTTCAAGAAAAACCCACGAAGTGACACTGGTTGAAGCCCAGAGGCTTTTAAGCGAGAGTGGAGACCACATCTCTCTAAAGCAGGGCTGGGCAAGGGGCAGAGTGGGATCCACTGGTAGACTGCAGGGGGTGGGCAAGGGGGATCTGACTCCCAGTTCTTTAACCGCCACAAGGAGACTGTCCCCACCCTCAACTGCCCTGTTAAAACCCCTGATTTATAACAACTTTTGCAACTGTGTGTGCTTATGATGCCTTGCAGAAGTATTCACCCTCTTTTTTTAAAACTTTTCAACATGTTGTTGAATGCAGTGGAATGGGAAAGGATTTGGTCAGCGTTGGTGCCACCTGATGTGCACAAGATACTCAACACCGGGGAGATGCAAAGTATTTTCCTCCTGGCACAGGCACCAAGTCAAAAAACCCCAACTGGCACTTGTTGGTTGCGTAAGTATTCACCTCCCTGACCCCGTCCTTGGGAGATGCTCCTTTGGCAGCAATTACAGCAGTGAGTCTTCTTGGGTATGTCTCTAGCAGCTTTGTACATCTGGATCCTGCCATGTTTGCCAGTTCTGCCTGGCTAAACTGCCCCAAGCCTATCCAGTTGGATGGGGTTGCCATCCCAGTAGAAGACGCCTGGAGTTCAGCTGGTCAGCTTTCTCCTACCTGGGGACATCCAGACAGCAACTCCCATCATTCCCTGCCAGCATGACTGACAGCTGCAACAGGGACCTGGCTCTGTCCCATGTGCCATGACTTTCTCTTTTGTTCTGCCCCAAGCCACTGTTTTGCAACTGGATCCAGCTGGTGGAGGGACCTCAAGCTGTGGTGTTGTATGGATGGACTCCAAGTCGGTGCCAGATAGTGGGAAAAAGGGAGCAGGGGAGGGAAGATGTGTACCCCTTCCTGCCCTGTCTGATACACAATTCTAGCACACTTTGTGAGACTAACCCTACTAGATCCCACTTGTGAGATCTTTGTGAGACCCCAGACCCTACTTGCTGGAGGAGGTGGGATCTACACTTACTGAGGGGGAATCTACACTGCAGCCAAGCCAAGAGCTATCTTTCCTCCAGCAAGTAGGGTTTGGGGTGGATGGCAGTGGCTGGTGGTTCCCACAGCAGTGGCACGGTTGCTCCAGGCTTCAGCTGGACCTGTAAAGGAGCTCTGTCTGGTGCTGGAACCAACAGGAGGGAAGTTTCAGGACCATGGACAGCTCCTCCAAAGTCCAATGAGAAACCCAGAGTGAATACACCACCCCACTGACAAGGCAGACACAGGCCTCTGCCAGGCCAGTGCGGTTTACCAGTTCAGGTACAGGCCTGGGACTCGAGATCCAGGCTAGAGTCCCCAGTTGGCCATGAAACCTATTGAGTGACACTGGGCCAGCCACAGACTCTTGGTCTGACTGCCCTGCAGGGTTGTTGTTAAAAGAAGGGAATGGATAGAGGAGAACCTTGGAAGCTGCCCTGGGTTCCTTGCAAGAAAGAGAAAAAAAAAACCCAGAAAAAATGCAATGTAGTAGT